GGGGGGGGATCAATGAAGAAAAATATTTTCTGACACATGAAAATTCTATAAAATTCAAATTCCAGTTTCCACAGTAGTTTTACTACCTATGTTCATTCATTTATGTGTTGTGTGGAACTGCTTTTGTGCTGTGTCAGCAGAGTTTAGTAATTACAAAAGATGTAAGGCCCTCTGTCTCTATTAACTCTGCCCTTTACAGTTTGTGGATCCCAGTTGTGATAATTCCTCTCTGAGGTCTGCCCCAGGTGTTCTCCCAGTAGTTCTCACCACTGGGAACCCACTGGCTGACCAGAGGAAATCTACAGAGAACATTGTCCTTTTTTCAGTATCTTTCTCTTCAGTCTCAGGGTTATGATGGGTGTGGGGTTCTACATGAAGTGAATACAGTGTTATTCTGTTGCACTTAATGAAATCAAATGAGAAAAGGAAGGAAGGAGAGGCGGGAGGGAAGGTTCACTAGAATAGAAAGTAGGAAATACAAATTTCAAGTTCAACTTCCAAGAAAGATAGTGATAGAATGAATACTCTAAATTTAGCTATTCTAAGAATGCTTGCCTCCATTCTGGTAATTTCTTTAAACAACAGCACAGTCAGCTTTATTATTTATAAGGAAGGCATAAGGATATGTATTCATAAATAGATAAAATTAACTAGAGCTATTCTGAAGATTTGATTATCTAAATTTAGCATCTTCCAGTTTACTCAGTAAAGTTTCAGTTTGTGAAAAAACAGATCAAAGTCCTCAAATTCAGTGATTTAAATTTTTTTTACTTTTTTATTGAACTTTTTAAATTTTACACATTTCCCACTCAAATCCAAACCCCCTCCCCTAGATTTTTAAGTTTTTAAATTTTTATTTTGTGTATGGGTGTTTTGCCTGCATGTGTACCTGCACCCATGTTGTACAATGCCTGTGGAGGCCAGAAGAGGGCATTGGGTCACTAAGAACTGGAGTTATGAACAGTTCTTAACTACCGTGGGGTGCTGGGAACCCAACCAGGGTGCTCTGAAAGAGCAGCCAGTGCATCTCTCCAGCCCCATGATTTCTTTTTTTTAAATATTTTATTTATTATTTTTATTTTATGTGTATGAGTATATTGCCTGCATGTATGTGAGTGCACCCATGTCATGCAATGCCACGGAGGTCAGAAGAGAGCTTTGGATTCCCCTGAAACTGGAGCTAAGGACAGTTCATAGCTGCTATGTGGGTGCTGGGAAACGAACCCAGATCCTCTGAAAGAGCAGTCAGTGCTCTTAACCACTGAGCCATCTCTCCACACACACCCCCCACCCCATGATTTCTTTTTAAGACAGGGTTTTACTATGTAGCCCAGGCTGGCCTCAAATTTACCAGCTTGACTCAGCCTGCCTCATGATGCGATTACAGGCATGTACCATACCTGACTCTTAAGTGATTCTTCTTTCTTTTCCTTTTTGTGGTAGTGGGGCTTAATACATGCTAGGCAAACACTCTACCAGTGAGTACCACCCCTATCTCCTAGTGATTCATAATAAAATTTTCCTTTCAGCTACACCTTAGAAGCTCACTTCACTTCTCATACATCAATAATAAAATGTTCTCCAGTGCAAAGGACTGACCAGCCATTTGGTCAGCGAAGTACAGTTCTGCCACTGAAGTTGTTCCAATTACCACTAGATCATTTTATATCCTGTCTGTCCATTGGCAAAGCATGCTGTCTTGTGCTTTATGTCTTAAATATATATATATTTATTTGTGTATGTGTGTGGCCTTGAGTATATATGTGTATACCATGTGCATGCAGGTGCCCATAAAGCCAGAAGAGGGCATCAGATCCCCTGGAACTGGAATGATAAACAATTGTTAGTCACCATGTGCGTATTGGGAACCAAACCTGAGTCCTCTGCAAGAGCAGCCAGTGCTCTAACAGCGGAGCCATCTCTCCACCCCCTCTTTAAAGGAAGGCTTACTGGAAAGGCATTAAATTCTAAGGCACTTTCATTTTTGTGCTATACTTTCACCTTCCACAAACCATAAGAAGCTAAGCTCAGAGAGTTGCCCCAAATTACAACTTATAAGTAATAAGACAAAGGCTTGACCCTATATCATTTGGCCTCAAGCCCAAAGCACCTTCCTAAATAATTTTGGTTAGCAGCTCACGTTGGAGTGGGCTTTGACTCTGCTGAGTAAACCTGGTCAAGTTACTCATTTTCTGAATTCATGTACAAATTGGAGAACATAATAGAAGCTACCACTCTGTTTCATCCTACAAGGTGACTAGCTGTTGGAGGCTGGAGAAATGGCTCAGTGGTTAAGGGCACTGACTGCTCTTGCAGAGGACCCAGGTTCTATTCCCAGCACCCACATGGCGGCTAACTGTAACTTCAGTTCCAGAAAATCCGACACCCTCTTCTGACCTCCTTGGGCACTTACATACATGCAGGCATTACACTCATACATGAAAAATAAACAGTAATAATAAATTTTTTAAAAATATTTTATTATTTTTATTTTATGTGTATGAGTGTATTGCCTGCATGTGTGTGCATGCACCCGTGTTGTGCAATGTCACAGAGGTCAGAAGAGGGCTTCAGATTCCCCTGGAACTGAAGTTAAGGACGGTTCATAGCCGCCAATAATAAATATTTTTAAAAGATGACCAGGTATCATATGACATCGTATGTCACAGCTATTGAGGGAGACACGGTTGAGGACTGGACTTTGAGATTAGTTCCCACTTGGAGTGGAACAAGAGGCAGATAGACATGTGATGACAAGATGAAGTTGGGAAGATGGAGGAGCATGATGCTCATCCCAGAAAAAAGTGGGAGACTATGGGTTTGTATATGGTTTCAGTGTATCCTCCAAGGATTCGTATGTTAGAAGCTTGGTGTCTAGTGTGGCCACATTGAGGTGGTGGGCATGCATGGAGCACATTTCCACAATCTCAGCACTCAAGAGGCTGAGATAGCATAATGATAAGCTTTTTGGGTTTTGTTTTTCTAAATTTTAAAGAATTTCACACATCTTGCCTACCATGATCCCGGTACTATGCACGTTCTGGCATTCAGGTTGCAGTGCCTTGAGGGTCACCTGTCTACCCTGGGTAGATACTAAGGAAGAGGAATGTCCTTGTGCCTGAGGAAACAGCATTGAATAGCAAACTAAAGTAGGATGAAATCCCCAGCACCAGAAAATAAAACCAGCAAACAAAAACTTTAAGCCAGGTGTGGTGGCCCATGTTTGTAGTCCCAGCCTCTCAGAGGAGGAAACAGAAGGATCATAAGTTTGAGGACAGCCTGGGCTACACAGTGACATCCCTAGCTCAAAAAACAGTAACAATGACAACAAAAGGCCCCACCTGACTCTCCTGTTGTTCTGCATTCCCTCCATGATAGATCTGTATCTCCAGATAGAAACTGTATCCTTTCAAAGTACTAGTGAAAACAAACATTCTGAGAGGGGGATGGAAGGAGGAAAAGAGGGAGGGAGGGAGGGAGGTTGGGTTAGAGAGATGACTCAGCAGTTAAGAGCAATTGCTGCTCTTCAAGAAGACCTGAGTTCTGTTCCCAGCACCCACATCAGGTGGCTCATAACTACCTACATTTCTAGCTCCAGAGGATCTAGCACCCACTTCTAGCTTTTTCAAACATAAATTTAAGAAGTTGTTAAAGATTTTTATTTCAAATTATGTGTTTGGGGGTTATGTGCATGTGGGTATCCCTGATGACCAAAGGCATTAGATCCCCTTGGAGCTGGAATTAAGTACTCTTAACCACTGAGTCAAATCTTGAGCTCCGCCCCCCCCCAAAATCTCGAGATTGTCCTTATGCCATCTACCATTATCCATTATGTTCTCACAAATGGACAATCAGTAAGGGCTGCTTGGTCTTTCAACCTCCAACACAGTGTGCTAAATAAATCCCTTTTCTTGGGCTAGAGAAATGGCTCAGCAGTTAAGAACACTGGCTGCTCTTAAGGAGGACCTGGATTCAATTCCCAGCACCCACATGGCAGCTAACAATGGTCTATAACTCCAGTTCCAGGATATCTGACTCCTTCTTCTGACCTCCTTGGGCATTGCACAACACGGGTGCACCCACCCATGCAGGCAATACACTCATACACATAAAATAAAAATAAATAAATAAAAATAAATAAATCTCTTTTCTTTATAAACTTCCTAACCCCTGGTATCTTAATATAGCATCAGAGAGAGAGAGAAAAGAGCATCGAGAAAGAGAGAGAGAGAGAGAGAGAGAGAAAGAGAGAGAGAGAGAGAGAGAGAGAGAGAGAGGCATTGACAGAAAAAGGTTTTATAATTGACACCCTTTAGTGGCTTTTCTTGCTTTTGTCTTTCCATTTTGTACTGAGTTATGCAAATGAGAAAGACTATCTCAGGCTGGAAAGATGGCTCAGTAATTAAGAGCACTGGCTGGCTAACAGTCCATAGCTCCAGTTCCAGAGGATCTGACACCCTCTTCTGGCCTCTGTGGGCATTGCATGCACATGGTACACTTATATCCATGCAGACAAAACACTCATACACATAAAATAAAATAAATAAAAATTTTCAAAAGACTATCTCCATCACTCCCAAATTTCTTTCCTAACCTAGAGTCAAGCATCTCATTTCTCATGTTACCACAACTCTAACCATAGGGTTGTGAAACTCAAGAAAAACAGGTTTGAGACAGAGTTTGGAGAGATCCCAGTTGGAATTTACCATATCAAGGGCATATACACTGCCAGACAAAACGTAGTTGGAACTTGGTCTTGTCAATGAAAACTACAAGAAACATATATATGAGAGTCTGGAACATAAATACTCCCTTTGGAAACCAGTTCATCAATCAAGAGGAAAGCTAAAAAGTGTACCTTCTCCTTGCTTGCTGAGCCTTTCAGGATTCCACGTTCCCTGCTTCCTGGTCTACCCTCCTCCTGCCCTGGGCCTGCAATGTCCTGACCTTGATTTTGACGGGAGTTGACTGCTCCTTGTCATCTAGAGGTCAGTTTTGACATGACCTCCTCAAAAAAGCCTTCCCAAATCGCTACTCTAAACGAACACGGACACTGGATGGTTGGCACAGTGGTAGAACCCCTGCCTAGCCTGCAGGAGGCCCTGGACCCAAGCCCCAGCAAAGCAAAACAAACCCTCAAAGTACAGATATTAATCGCTGCTATACCTTCCATTTCACACCCTTACCCCTGGTCCTCCTGCCTCCTCCCTACCACCACACTTTAAATAGCAGAACATTGCCTCATTCAGGGCTGAACTCTTGCGGCCTAGAGGGAAGTCAGGCATAGGGCAGATACTCAATAATAGCTTATTGAATAAAATGGAGTTATAAAAATGAATGAGAGTTGTGCCCCAAACTATAGCCTTCCCCTTTGGGGAGGAAAGGACAAACTCACCAGCCCCTACTGTGTCCTTTCTTGGCTAATCTCACCTGTAATATGCGAACCCCGCCCCCTTACTCTCTTGGGGGCTGTACCAGACTCTTTTACGAACTTCTGTTAGTCTCACTTCCACCCTCGGAGACCTTACTTACTTATTCTTGTTTTCTGAAAGAGGTAACGGAGTTTCCTACGGTTTCCAGAAGAGAACACATGGAAAGAGGCTCGGCTTGCGCGCTACTCTAGCCTTTCCTTTCCAAAGCCAATACCACCTTCCACGGCAGCCCGCCTCTTCTCCCCGTGCCCGGCCCATTCGCATCGCCCCTCCACCAAGGTGAGGTTCCCAGGGGCCACCCCTCCAGGAGACTGTCCAAGGCATCCCAGATCAGGAGCCAGCCTGGCTCCGCCTAGCTGCTGCGCGCCCTTCCCCGACGCCCTGGCAACAGGTAAACAGTGCGTGCCCGGGCCTTTGTGAGCGAACCCCGCGCCCTGCGGCTGGTCCCCTGGGTGCTGCACCGCCCGGTGCCTTGAGTCGGGCTAGCGGGCGCCTAGCGTAGCCGCGGCTCGGTGGCTGGCCTCTTGCTGGGCGCGTCCTGCATCCCCGACAGTCTCTGCGCCTCCTCGTACAGCGAGGGCGCCCTCCGGGAGGTGCGGCCACGGCCGGGGCAGGCGGCAGTTCTCCGGTGAGTGCCTCCAGGACCCCGGGGACTCCGCCCCCGGGGATACCCGGCCTTGGCCTCCCTCTGAATTTCTGGATTGGGGACCGGTGTCACACTCACCTGCTCAGCTAATAAAGAAATGACCGAGGTAATATCGGTCTTGAATGGGAGAGGTTCCCAGGCGCTCCCCTTAACCCCGGCTGCCTTTGAGAGGCGTGCTTTTACTCCGATCTTTTGCCACTGGGCGTGGGTACTGTTGCATCCAGCGTGTCGTAAGTGGTGAGGCATGGCCGGGCGGGGTGGGGAGCTGAGGTTGACTCGGGGTGGTCTGCACCTGCTGCGTAGCAACAGCAGGATCAGGCTGAGTCCTTTCTGTGAGCTGCGGGGTTTCCATTCCTTGGTTCTGTGGAGTTACTTGCACACCTAGAAGATGCTTTGGTGTGTGTGAGATAGAGGGAGATGGGCAACGTGGTTTGAACCCCAAGGCCCAGTACATACCAGTAGCGACTGGTCCAGGCACTTGGCAGCTGCCTTAGTCGCAGGGTGGGATTCGCTCATATTATAGAAAGTAAGCCTTGGCTTTGCCTGGTCCCCCAACCCCACCTCCACCTCACCCCACTTCACCCCACCCCGCATTGTTCTTCATAGAATGCCTGTGGTTCTGTTTCCCTATTCCCCGAATGCTCAGGGAGGCACCATTGTCTACTAAACTAAGTACTGCACTGATTGGACTTGTGGCTCTTAACCTTTGGTAAAGGGACCTCAATTTATGACACTTTTATCATTTTATAGTCTCGGCTTAAAAGACAACCCATGCCGGGCATAGTGGCGCACGCCTTTAGTCCCAGCACTGGGGAGGCAGAGGCAGGTGAATTACTGTGAGTTTCAGGGCAGCCTCCTTTACTTAGTGAGTTCCAGGCCAGCTGAGGCTACTCACTATGTAGAGTCTGTTTCAGGCCAGCTGGGGCTGCAGGGAGACCCTGCCTCAAAAAGACCAAAAATAAAAATTGTTGGAGACTCGCCCGGCATGGTGGCACATGCTTATAATCCCAGCACTTGGGAGGCAGAGGCAGGCAGATCTCTGTGAGTTCAAGGCCAGCCTGATCTACATAGTGAGATCCAAGCCAGCTGGGGCTACAGGGAAAAAAAAAAAAAAAAAAAAAAAAAAAAAAAAAAAAAAAGAAAGAAAAGAAAGGAAAAGACAACCCATTTCCCACGTTCTTCGGAAGTCTCCTAGCACCTGCTCCATCTCAGGTTAATTCTTTTTAGCAGCTGACTAGAAGTATCTTCTGTTTCCTCTTGTTCTATAAGCACCCATGCCTTTTGCACCTCACTTAAGGGGCCTTGCCTGTTTTGCCTTTTTTACCCTCATGAACTCAAAGTGTAGGAATGTGTTTGGTTAGTCTTTGCCATCCTTCTAACTTTCTGCTGCAACTAAGTATAGTATTAAGTAAAAGTACTAATAAGTGTCTCGATTTAATTCCTGGGTTAGTTCACAATGGTTTATATACTACCATTTTCTTTCCAGACCCAGGGAATTGAAGCCCTTGAAATAATAATGGCTTCCTCCTGCTTTGGTGATAAATGTTCAACATTAGTTTACAGAGCAGGGGGTCAAAGCTGCGCTTTACTTCCTTTATGGGCTCTGCTCCTCTCACCCACCCCTTCACTATCCCCACCCCCACCCCTGTTTGCCAGTGGGCCCGCCACAGTGACCTTGTTTGGTCTTTTTGGGGCCCTTCAACTTTGCATGGTCCCAACAACCTCAGAGCTTTGGTACAGGCTGTTTGATCTACTTAAGAATTCTTTTTTTTTAATTTATTATTTTTGTTTTATGTGTATGAGTATATTGCCTGCATAAATGTAAGTGCACCTGTATCATGCAATGCCCACAGAGGTCAGAAGAAGGCGTTGGATTCCCTTGAACTGGAGGTAAGGATGGCTGTTAGCTGCCATATGGGTGCTGAAAATTGAACCTGGGTCCTCTGTAAGAGCAGCCAGTGCTCCTTAGGGTTGAGCCATCTCTCCAGCCACTGCTTAAGAATTCTTACTCTTCAGGGATCATTCCTAGTGTCCCTGCCTGTCCTATCATAACGCCAAGTACTCCTGGGCCCCTTTCCTGGCATTGTTGATTTGTCAATGTGTCTATGATTAAGAGTCCAGGGTCTTTTTCCTTCACTGGATGGTGAGCCTCATGAGGACAGCAACCCAGATCTACTTTGCTCTGTATCTGGTAACTGAGCCAGGAACACAGTATTTGTTGAATGAATGAAAAGGGCATCTTAAATTTTAGAAAAGCACGAATGCTTGTTTGCTTTCTACAGCCTTTCCTGCACTGCGTCTATATTAGTTACTTTTCATGTGGCTGTTACAAAATACCTGACGGGGCTGGAGAGATGGCTCAGCGGTTAAGAGCACTGATTGCTCTTGCAGAGGACCCGAGTTCAATTCCCAGCACCCACATGGCGGCTAGGAACCATCCTTAATTCCAGTTCCAGAGGAATCCAAAGCCCTCTTCTGACCTCTGTGGCAATGCAAGACACGGGTGCACTCGCATACGTGCAGGCAATACACTCATACACATAAAATAAAAATAATAAAAGAAACTGCTAAACTGTTCTCCAAAGTGGCTTTGTCACTTTAGATTTCTACCAACAGTGAATGAGAGTTCCAGGTCCTCCACATTCTCATCATACTTGATAATGGTTGGTCATTTAAACTGAGCCATTTTTAGGTGTGTGTTGATGTCTTGTAGTTATAATGGTTTATGCCTAAATGGCATAATGATGTTCAGTGTTCCTATTTTCCATTCATCTTTTCCAGTATCAATTTGAACATTTTATTGATTTTTAAAATTTTTATTTATTATTTTTATTTTTTTATTTTTTTAAAAATATTTTATTTATTGGCCGGTGTGGTGGTGAACGCCTTTAATCCCAGCACTTGGGAGGCAGAGGTAGGCAGATCTCTGAAAGTTCGAGGCCAGCCTGGTCTCCATAGTGAATCCAGGACAGTTGGGGCTACAGGGAGACCCTGTCTCAAAAAAACCAAAAAAAAAAAAAATTTATTTATACCGGGCATGGTGGCGCACACCTGTAGTCCCAGCACTTGGGAGGCAGAGGCAGGTGGATCTCCGTGAGTTCAAGGCCAGCCTCCAGGACAGCTGGGGCTTACAGGGATCTTCCTGCCTCTGCCTCCCAAGTGCTGGGAGTAAAGGCGTGCACTACCATGCCCACCTATTATTTTTATTTTATGTGTATGAGTGTATTGCCTGCATGTATGTGAGTGCACCCGTGTCATGCAGTGCCTCGAAGGTCAGAAGAAGGCATCAGATTCCCCTGGAACTGGAGTTAAGGATGGTTCGTGGCCGCCATGTGGGTGCTGGGAATCGAACCCGGGTCCTCTGCAAGAGCAGTCAGTGCACTTAACTGCTGAGCCATCTCTCCAGACCCTATTTTACTGATTTTTAATTGGGTGGTTTTCTTACTGTTGTGTTTTAAACATTCTGCATTATACAAGTAGGCCTATATAAGATATTGTCAAATATTTTCTCTCAGTCCCTTGACTTTTCATTCTCTTAATACTTTTTGGAAAGCAGAAGTTTTTGATTTTGATAACAAGCTTATCAACTTGTTTTTCATGGTATATTAGTTGCTTTTTTGTTGCTGTGATCCAATATTGTTACAAAAGCAACTTAGGGAGAAAAGGTTATTTGGGCTTACAGTTCCAGAGAGGATGCAGTCCATCATAGTAGGGAAAGGCATGGCTATAGTAATGTGAGGCTGGCCATCAATCAAGAAGCAGAGAGAAAAGGAAGTTGGACGAGTCTATAAAACCCCAAAGCCCACGCCAGTAAAGCACTTCGGCAGGCTTGTAGTTAAATTACTTTTGAGGGGGTATAAACAATATTCACTCCCCCCATTGGTCCCAACGACAAACTGAGATACAACTTCGCCAAACTGAAGAAACCAGTGAGTTTATTGGGCTTACTTACAGAGCAGTGGGTGAGGGTTTACTTACAGGAGTGTAGGCTCCCCCCAAAGCCCCACTGGAAAGTCTCCATCCAAGCATGAATTGTGGTTTCCCACAGTCACAAAGTGGTGAGGGAGCCTCCCCTCTACTTCCTTGATTTATATACCCTTAGCCCCTCCTCCCCAGGCCATGTGCAACCAGGATCAACTGATTGATTAGGAGGTATGGCTGACTCTCCCTGCCCTTCCTTCCTTGCTGCATGTAACAGTCAACAAGCTTAGCTGTAATGACCAAAAAATAAAAAAGAAAGAAAACAAAAATTAGATGTTAAGGGTCAGTGAATTCAATTTACACCTTTTTGAAATCTTAGGTAATGTTGAGAGCTGCATGTGACCTCACACCAAAGGTCATAAAATCTTGGTCAAACTACCAGTATTTATGCTAAGATTAATTGATTTGAAAGAATTTTATTTTGGAGAGGTTTTTTTCTTTTCATTGTATTGTATTGTATTTGTAGTAGTTTGTAGTAGTGGGTTTGACCATAACTTTTTGTCTCCATAATTTTACTTAAGACTCTTTAGAGCTGCATGTGACCTCACACCAAAGGTCATAAAATCTTGGTCAAACTACCAGTATTTATGCTAAGATTAATTGATTTGAAAGAATTTTATTTTGGAGAGGTTTTTTTCTTTTCATTGTATTGTATTGTATTTGTAGTAGTTTGTAGTAGTGGGTTTGACCATAACTTTTTGTCTCCATAATTTTACTTAAGACTCTTTGGCAAGGTGATAATTAGCTTTTTTTTTTTTTTGGTCGTTTTGAGATAGGGTCTCCCTGTAGCCCCAAATGGCCTGGAACTCACCAGGCGAGCCTTGAACTCACAGAGATTCACCTGCCTCTGCCTCCCGAGTACTGGGACTAAAGGCGTGCACCGCTGCACCCGGCCTTAATTTAATATCTTTCAAATGGGTTTCCACAAAACACTCAGAGGTGAACATTATGTCATGTGGACCTTTTTCCAAAGGATGGGCAAAAAAAGGCATCATCCTGAA